AATGGATGGTGTAAGACGCTGCAGTTTTGTCGAGTTAATCTCCAGCATGTTCTCCTTGCATGTGCTTTGATCAGTTACTTGATGGCTTTCCTGTCTTGTGAGAAACTTTGCACTTAACTTTTACTTATCCTTATTTTGTAATTCTGTTTAATTAGCTTCCTTGTCACAGAAAGCGCTCAATACAGTTTACAAAGTGAAAGTAATTTTTAGAGCAAATTGAAAATGTTCAAAGTTTTTGGTCATCTTCCTGCATCCATCTGCATCTGGACATCAAACAGGATCTTACCTCAGTCTTTCTCAGCCATCATAGGGGGCAATATATATATATAGTCTATGTTTCTCATTGGTCAAGGCTGGGACCGTCCTTAGTTTTTTGGTTTACTGCTTCAAGGAGGGCTGTGGGTTGCACTTTACATACCTTAAGTATTCGGCGTATAACTGAATAATTAAAACCAAAGGCACTGATTCATTCTCTTATGCTCTTCCAGCTCAGGGTCGTGCTGGTTTGGAGCTACTGTAGGGAGAAGGGCGGGTACACCCAGGTCAGGTCGCCAATTTGTCGCAGGGCCATGTTGTTGTTAATAATTATTATTTTTATTATTATTATGATCATCATGATGATCAATTATTCATTATAATTTTATCATAAAATTAGGACATTTTCATATCCTTCATAAATTGCTTTTTGACAAAAGGGTTTATTCCCTCTCTCTGGTGGATTTGACTCTATATGAAGAAACAGAGGTGACTACTCCGGGAATGTGTTAACTTCCCACAGGGGAACACAGCCAGTTTTTCAGGGCCTCTGGTATAGCCATCATATCCAGGTAGTAGATGACGGATATCAATAACAAGGACACTAGTTCAAAATTTACAATTTTAAAAGCTAATAAAAGCAAAGTTATTGGCCGATAATAATCGAGGGTTTTGAGATTGAATTTCAGAAAACGTGGTCCTTTTGCTCCGTACATGTTCTGTGCTTAAACAGGAGATGGATGAAAAAAGCTTGTGCCTTGTCTACAGATTCCTCGTGTTATGTATCTGTTCTTTACAGAACAAGTAAGAAAAAATAACATTAAAACATGTGAGAGTTGATTTTCAATGTCAGATGATTTGATCTTGTTTAAAAAATGGCAAACATGAGACGCATGAGTGGAAGACCATGAGCGGGAAAGAAAGCCTTTCTCAGTTCTGTTTAACAGAAAGAACTTAAGATATCCCAAAATTAGGAAAAGTCCATTGTTAAAGAAGTTAAAAATGATGTTAAATGTAACGCATAGCTTAAATAAGTAGAAATATATGCACCTTAATATGACCACATAAGTATCTTATCAAATGTCCAACAACCATTGACCACAACGTGACCCTGCAGAGCTTCTCCAAAGACAAGAGAAGTCAGCAAAAAACTGCAATAACTTCAAGATAATGTTCATCAATTTCAAATTGTAAAAACATTTAATATCTCACCATATATAGTGCATAATATCAAGAGATTCAGCCAGTCTGGAGAAATCTCTGCAGCGCTGCATTAAAACAGAATCAGGCAGGAATAGGTTTCACTAGTCCAGCAGCTGGTCTCCTTGGTTACCTCCATGGATATTTACGGACTGTTAAGAGCAGATTCCAGCTGATTGCATTTTTTTTTTTAAGTTTATTTGCACAAAATCATTTAAAAAATAATGCAAAGGTGACTGAGAGGAAGCTTGAATTCACGGTTAATAGGATCAACAATGGGAACAAAGGGACAAGAGTGAATCCAGAGAGGGCTCAAGAGGTACTGATAGATAGAGGTGGAGCCACCATTCCAACTGAAGCTTAGATTCACTGAGGAAAAACAAAGAAAACAAAAGAGGACCCAGCCGTGACAGTGCTGCTGCCATCATATTCAAAATGAGCTATATTTGTCATGAAATGTTAGGTCTCAGTTTAATCACTTGATATGTTTTCTATGCTGTGAATCATTTGTGGGTTTGTGAGAAGTGATTTAAATCTCAAATTTCTTGGAGTGAGGGTTTTATTTACTAGTTAGGCTGCATTATTCATAATGATCAACAGTGGGGCGCGTTTGTGTGTAAACACACGATGTTGTGCCGTCCTTTCTTTTGCAACATTATGACGTTATTGCAATGTAAATCTGAACCTATGCTTTAAAAGACTGGTGGTCCTCAGTTAAAATAGCAAAGCATTGACTCTGCAGCTGTCTGTTGGTGTTTGCAGTGTAATGTTCTTTTCGCTCTCCTCCTTATCACTCCAAGTTCTTTGACAGCTTTAACCATATTAGACTTACCGTTGTGATGAGGCCCACCACGTCAAATATCTGATACAGTAGGAATTTAATTCAATTCAGTTCAATTTTATTTATACAGCACCAAATCACAGCAACACCTCAAGGTGCTTTATATTGTAAGGTAGACCTACAATAATACATACACAGAAAAACCCAACAATCATATGACCCCCTATGAGCAGCACTTTGGCAACAGTGGGAAGGAAAAACTCCCTTTTAACAGGAAGAAACCTCCAGCAGAACCAGGCTCAGAGAATTTAGTGTTTACAAACATACATAAATGTCAAGAAACATAATGTGCAAGAAAAATCGCCTCACAGTGTAACTGAGTCCAGTATGTATGTATTTCTTGGAGGCGCGGCACCTAACAGATAATACAATATTCAATAATCTCCACATGTCACCCAACATCCAACCAACTTTGGGTAAAAAATCTTTTTCATTCGACGATTTTGCTTTGAGTATGAGTCATCCGGTAAGTTCTGGAGCGATTATCCTTCTCCACAGGCAGCCTTCATCAGCAACATTCAAACTCAACCCCCATCCAGCCTACAGCCACAAACAGGAGGTTCATCCAGGGGCAGCTGTGACTGGCTAAATAATGGATCCTCAAATCAGACTGCTGCTTGCTTAACTGAGTTTAATTATACTTGATCTGACCTTTGTATTCACAGGCCAGCAAGTTGCTCCCATTTGTATTTGTGACATTTACAATAGTTTCCGGTTCTCTTAATCCATCAAAAGAAACAATTTTTTTCATTGAGTTATCAATAAACATTAATAAAACATTAAAGATCTCATGGCAGAACCATGAAGGTTTATGCATTTCAAATAGACATAGCAGCTCTAAAGTAGGGATGCAACGATACCAATTTTTTCAAACCAATACGATACCGATACTTGGATCTGAGTACTTGCCGATACTGAGTACAAAAACCGATACTTCTACCACACACACAAATGCAATGAATTGAAAGACAGGTTTTATTTTATTCTCTGCTGATAAAACATTAAATCTTAATAAAAATGACCACAAAAAAATTTCAAGTGAAAAATAAGCACTTCTGTTAAATTATTGCAGAGTCTTCACATTGTAATTTAACAAAATATCACTGAACTATTGGCACTGTCTCGAGCTTTCAGAATAATAAATAAGCACTTCTGTTTGGAATCAAATAAATACAACTTTACTACAGTTTACTACAACAACTATACTTTTCCAAAACCTGAGTTAAAGTTGGCTGTTCCACACTGCTGACATTTTGTTTAGCCTAGCTACAGCAGCCTCCAGTTTCTCTTTTTTATCTGGAGCCGCCAGTCTCACTCGCCTAACCCTGTGCCTGTTTAGCATGGGATGTCCCCCTAGTGGCCAATCTAACAAACTACAACAGAAATGACAAGCCACCCTCTGATTAATGAAATAAGTTAGTATCGGTTCATGGTATCGGTTAACTTTTATGAGTATGAGTACACACACATTTTACAGTATCGGCCCCGATACCAGTATCAGTATCAGTATCGGTGCATCTCTACTCTAAAGGATAAAATTACATTGAAAATGTGTCAGAATGAGGCTGCAAAATCTGTAAGAAAAACTTTAAAGACTGTCACATTACAATGTTTCTGTATGTTTTTGGCCTTTTATTCACCACCTGCTGATTCACATGTCAAAGTCCTTGTGACAGTTCCCCTACTTTGACTTGCGGTCATGTGACATAAACAAAGGAAGCTCCAACAGTCATTTGAATTTTAACATCACTCATTTAAATTGAAAAAGGTTACAACACCAAACAAAACAGGAGAGGAAAGAAGAGTCAGTCGTGGCTGAATGTGTCAGCAGGAAAATAATGAATGTGCAAAACTGATCTACAGGAGAATAGAACTGAAAATACTAGAAAATGTCCCAATGCCACATACCAGGCAGTAGTCACAGCCTCTAACATCCGTCTGGTTTCATTTGTATACAAAATAATTATTTTTCCACTTTTAAAGGGAAAATATTCAACTGCCAACAGATTTCGACACTAGCAGCTATTTTTGATATGATATTATCAATTTAAATAACTTTATTAAACTACACGGTTCACAGAAAGATCGCAGGCTGGTTTGAACTACAAGGCGTGACACTTCTCTCTGTGGTACATCCCACTCTGAAACATTCATGCTGAAGACCGAAGTCCGGGACAAATAAACAAACAAAAAAGAACAAAAATCTTGAATTTAATCCATCATAACAGCTCGATAGTGTTTATGGTCTTCATGAATGTCCCTGTCGATTAATAATAATACCTGCTGTGTGGTTGTGCTGAGGGAAATTTGTGTATTTTATTAGTCTGGTACTTGGCAGTAATGAGCAGTTATATGTGTTTTACACCAGAAGCTTTAGAATACAGTCATCATCTAAATGTGCCAACTATATACCAAAAATAACCCCACTGACTTTGAGGCAAAACGCAGAGTCAGAAGTCTGGATCCAGGAATGTTTGGATTCATTGTGAGACAGGACAGGTTGGGCATGTCACATCATATCTTCTCAGATACGTATCAGATTTTATTCAGAAAATATAGGAGGCGTTGTCTTGGTGTTCTTCACAACATAACAAACACATGAAATTCACTGAAGGTGAGAAAGGAATTTTCTGTTTTAACACATGTGTGCAGATGTGTGAATTGTGCATGATTTTACAGAGACATTTTGACATTTCCACTCTAAACTGTTGCATATGAGATAGAAATGTGTGCAAATGATGCCTAATTTTGTGCTTGACATATAACCCCAGTGTTCAAGCACAGTCTATCCCTGCGAGTACAAAATAGTTTATAGCATGCAGGACAAGAATGAGTCCTGGCACACACCTGCTTTGCCACCCCCTCCTGTCTCTCATGGCATGTTTCAGTTTCTATTTCTCAGCTCAGATGCTGCTGTCCTGACACTGTCTCTGTTCTTTCTCTCTTTCTTAACCAGATTGAAATACAAGAAATTAAGGATCCAAGATTTTGTGTTCAGCGGTTCCATTGAGAACCAAAGATCTCTTCCTCCTCTTCCAGCTTTGTGCCTCGTTCCCCGATACTTCACCTCCTCCATCTCCTGTCCTAAGCTCTTCAGGTGAAACCCTTTTGGTTTGGGTTTTGGAGGTCAAAGGTTGTTAAACAGGACTGACACGGACGAATCTAACAAAGTCAAACTGTTTGAGAAGAAACAAAACCTGAGAGAAAGTGGGATGATCAGCTTTACCAAACTCTGGGATAAAATCATTCGCAAACACACGCTCGTATTGTTCCGTGGAGTTATTACATCAAAGCTCACAGAGTTAACAAATGTGATTATTGAATGAAGAAAAAACCACTTTACAGCTTTAAAAGTCAAAAGAAGAAGTGCGTATGTAAAAGCACACAGGTGCTACTTATGACAAAAAAGAAATGAAACTTTTGTACAATTTAGACAAAGTGTCATTTTGAAGTCTTTTTTAGGTTCATTTTCAACTTCTCTTTGTACACGACACGGTCTGAGCCCGGGAACGTCAAAATAAACGTTTCTATGGAAATAGGTAAATACATACTTTTGTTGCCCATACGTGAAACCACATATTCATCAGCTGTTAACAGTATAATGTGTTTGTCCTTTCCTCTGTGTGTAATACCAACAGGTGGGCAGAACCAGCTGTTTCATTCGTTCGTATTTCACAACGTTACAGTTTTTGGTTTGTTCATCAAAGGGGCGATATCTGTTCTGCTTCCTCAGCTGGGTTCTGTTTGTGTGTCCAAAAACAGCCCTGCATGCTGCATCTATCTCAGGCCTGAAAGACGATGCCGGGGCTCAGACTCAGTCTGCTGCACTGTCCTGCTACATGCCCAGCAGTTGAAGAGTATTGACAGGACAAGAAAAAGAATTGCATCTGTGTAGCTGATCTTATATGGACACAGACAATTGGCTGACATGATGATTATCAAGGCATTTTCATTTTGGAAGGCTGTGATGGACCGAGCAGTGAAGGAAACTTAGGCACAGGTTAAAGTCCAAAAAAATGATTTTTTATTTAACCCAAAAACATAATTGGTTAAATCATGCAAAAAGAATCAAAATCTTGGGCCCATAAAAGAGGTCAAAATAACAGAACTCTACTCAAAGTTGACAACACTACTGATAACTCAAACAAACTGACCTAACTTAACGAGACAAAGGGGAAACTTAAATAGTGGCTGATCAGCCCACAAAAACAGGGGAAGGGGTAAAACACACAAAACCTAACTAAACCAAACATAATGAACTCCAATTCCCCCCCATGGTCCCGAGTTATGGCATGAACCAATTTGCAGTCTTCCTTTAAAGCTGGCTCCGCCCCTTTTCCACCTCTTGGCTCCTTAATCAAGGGACTGGAACAGCTGCAACTAAGGTAGCTCAGAAAACTAAAGATTAATCACACATAACAGTGTAAACTAAAATGTGCACACTTATTTTAGAATGCAGTGTTATGTGGATATGTGAATTAACTCTAAACCAAAACCAGTTATTTATTGTCCTGTAAATTAATTCCTATAAAGACAAATGTGAATGCGATGTTACTTATAAGCCTCTACACTAACATGGTGGGTATAACCACTGTGTGGCTGTAAGTGCAGCCATCACAGGCACAACTGAGTGAGAAGGTGGAAAGAAAGACTATCGTGATCATTATTTACTTAGATGTTTTTAAAGTTTTAAACTTCCTTTTTCCAAGTTGCTGCCTGAAAATCAGACAGATTTAATCCAACAGCTCTGTAAAGTCAGTGAATAATAAAATCGAATCTAGATTCTGATGGACGCACTAATACCCTGGTGCTGATCATGAATACAGAGAAAGTCAACACAGGTTCAGATCAGGACGATCTAATAAAAACCACAAAAAAAACCTCGTGGATAATTTCCTGAAAGAAAACAACTCTGGAACATTTAGGATGCTGTTGGGGTTTAAAGTGGCCTAAAAACCCTTGTGGAAAATCTCTTTTGGTGATCACCAATAATGCAGAAGTCTGTAAGATGCTTTAGTTAGCGCGCCCATTTATAGTCAGGGGCTAGTTTGATCATTTATCGTGAATTAAATGCTGTAAAAGGCATTTAAACTAATTACTCCGCCTATCCGGGAAAGTTTCTTTGTTTGTTTTTAATATTTTCTGCACCATGACGTAAATTTCAGTTGTAAAGTTGATGTTCAGCAAAGCTAGAGCATCTCTTTATTCAGTGAAAAAAGGGTTGTGGGCTAGCCGTAGCTAACCAGCTAAAGTCACTGAAGTCTGTTTTCCTCATGAATTGTACATTTTACAGTATATTTTCTTTAAACGTTAAAATGGGATGTCAGAAGACAGGCTTTGATCTTACCTCAATTTTGACCACATATCAAAGCTATTTAGTGACCATGTTTTGGATTTGTATATCAGTGTAGCTTGTTGCAGGCAAATGATGCTGCTGCTGTCAGTTTGGGCATCTTTAAAAAATACATCATCAAGAGCATTAAATTTATCATCTATATTCAAAACGCTGGTGTAGTGGCAGACACACAGAGGCATGCAGTGAATGAAAGTATGCAGATTTAACCTTTAGAAGAGTTTCCTGAGCATTTATGATATTGCACTCAGTCATCTCAAGTGATAGATTCGTTTCATGTTCTGTCAGCCTCAGGAGTCTTTTTCCTTTTTCCTGCTCATCCATCGAACCGTTCTCTTCTGTTTATCCAGTTCAATCATCATATAATATCTGCAGTAATATTAGTTTGACTTTTGATCCTCATTGGTTGAATACCTGCGTGACTGGAGCAGTTAAGAACATGTGAGCACCAAAGGATCTTTAGTGTTTGTGAGATTTTCTCAGGGTTAAAGTTTCCAGTACAGATTTCTCAACTAGTTTTTGCACAAGCAAGTATATGTTTACAACACGTGTATTGATACTTGTTTTGGCTGATCCCTTTAGGGGTCGCCACAGCAGATCATCTGCATTCATCTCTCCCTGCACTACGTCCACAAACCTCCTCTGCATCCTAAACCATCTCCACCTTTTCTCTCCAACTTTCTCTCCAAACCACTCACTCAGAGATATCTTTCTGATGTACTCATTTCTCTTTCTTGTCCTTTCTGGTCAATCTGAATTTAAATCTTAACATCTAAAATTCTGCGACCACCTCCATCTCAGCCTCTTGTCGTGGTGGAGTAAGGTCTCACTGGCGCCTTGTAAGCCTTCCCTTCCACTCTTGCTGCTACCCTTCTATCTCATAGCACCCCTGACACTCATTTCCACCGAGACTACCCTGCCTCACCTCTCTTTTGCCGTGTCCGTTGCTTTGGATGGTTGACCCCAGGTACTTAAACTCATCTCTACTCCTTACATGTCAACATTTCCACCAGTTTCCCGGTAATTCACACACCATCACAGCTATGTCATCTGGACCAGCTGTCTTTCCACTCTTCATCATCTTCATAGCTGCCTTCACTTATTCCTTACTAATCCTCTGCACTTCCTGATTCAAAAACTCTCCACCATCTATCCTCCTCTCACTCTCGATTTCTTCATTCATCAGTTCCTTGGAGTATTTCTTCTGTCTTCTGTCTTGTCAACAGACTCTTCCATCATTAGCACATTTCCATTTCTGTGTTTAATCATCCTAACCCGCTGCACATCTTTTCCATCTCAGTCTCTCTCTGCCTGGCCAATTGATAGATTGATTCTTTTTTTCTCTCTTTGCCATAACTAACCTTCCAATACTTCCTCTGTCCAGAGGATGCACCAAACAGCTTCCCTCAGCACTACAGCTGTATGTTCCCAGTCAGCTTGTAATTCTTCCCTTCCACCCAGAGCACGTCTCAATTCCTTCCTGAGCCTCTGCCCTCGCTTCCTCTTGATGATTGAAGCGATCCTACAGACTACCATCTTTGCTGCCTAGTTAAATTCTCCTGTGCGACCACCGTGCAGTCTCCTACCTCTTTCAGATTGCTCCTACTACATAAGATGTAGTCCACTTGTGTGCACCGTCCTCCACTTATACACCACCCTATCTTCCTCCAATCAATTCAACAGTTGTACTAATAGCAGCAAAAGTAAATTGGTATTCACTATGATTTGTTTTCCTTGAATAAGTTGTGGCATACTCAGCAATGACATTTGAGCTGCTCTGAATGAGTCATATGTCAAAGACACATCCATGCAAATAAATATATAAATAAAAAAGATTTGGTCTTCCTTCCTTCCTGAGACTGTTATTTAATTGTACCTAATCAAGATGAAAATGGTTGGTTTATACTTGTTTTCTTTTTCCTCTGCCTTTGTTTGAGTGTTAGTTTGGTTATGGGATGCTCTGATGTCTCTGTGTAGTGAAACAGGAATGTTTGAGAGGAGAGTCCAGCATGGCTGCCAGCGCCATATAACCTGTTTATCACCATTAGTGTCATTTTTAAAAATAATAATAATAATAAACCAGTAACTAACAAATTTAATTTCTGTTTTACAGACACAGAGGAGCAAAGCTCATGATTCAAATGAAATATAATTTACAGTTAATACTGATCAATTGATGATGAATGACTGTTATATGTAACATTAGTTAAAGTCTTTCATTCTATTTACATACATGTCAATGAGACGCCTTCATGTAAGGAACCAGTGATTCCATCTCGCCATACCTTTAAGGAGTTTTCCGAGCTGATCTTAGATAAGATACTGGTGAAGCCTGGATTCCTGAATCTTCTCAAACATGAGTAATTAAATGCCCTTTACTGGCACTGTCTGGATGTATCTGACTGCCATGACCTTTGGTGACACTCTGGGTCGCCTCTAAGAGACTGCGGATGCCTCTCTTCAACTGTCAGTGCCCATGGTGACCAGTACCAGTCTGGAAATTGACACAACACGGACTCCAACACAAAATGAGAGCAAAACAAATTCTGGCTTCAGATCATATCTTGCTAGCAACAACATTAGCCAGCTTAGCTAGTTGCTATGTTGAATTGTTCGATTTTCAATTCAGTTTTATTTATACAGCACCAAATCACAACAATGACCCCAAGGTGCTTTATATTGTAAGGTAGACCTACAATAATACATACAGAGAAAAACCCAATAATCATATGACCCCCTATGAGCAGCACTTTGGCGACAGTGGGAAGGAAAAACTCCCTTTTAACAGGAAGAAACCTCCGGCAGAACCAGGCTCAGGGAGGGGAGGGGCCATCTGCCACGACCTGTTGGGGAGAGAAAAGGAAGACAGGATGAAAGACATGCTTGGGAACCGTGACCGTGAATTATCAAGGAGCAAAGAGTTAAGACTCCTCAACAAAGAAGAATTTAATCTAACCTAAACAGACTTTTGGTTGTGGTGTTACAGTGCATTTGGGGCCTGGTTTGTTATCAAAACTCATGAACTTCCCCACTGACATTAATCAAATTCAAAATGAGCATATTTTTAGTTACTTTGATTATCTACTTTCAATCTATATGCTATGCAAATAAAGTTACATGCTAAACATATTATGCTGCATTTTTGGTGAAGGAGGAGTGTGAGGGTGAAACTGCCTGTGTGGCAGCAGGGTGGAGTTTGTGGCACAGCACAACTGTAAGACTGAAGACTTCTGTTTTGAAAGGCCAAATTCCTGTGCACCTGAGCCACCTTAGATATTTCCTTGCATGGCAGCTACAGGGAAGGAATTCCTTATGACTGCTGTGATGTTGTAAACAGATGATCATTCCAGCTGTCAGAAAAGGTGTAAAACATCTTGGAAGGGTTAAATGTTCCTCCTCTCACCCCAACCGGTTGCAGCAGATGGCCCCGCCCCTCCCTGAGCCTGGTTCTGCTGGAGGTTTCTTCCTGTTAAACGGGAGTTTTTCCTTCCCACTGTCACCAAAGTGCTTGCTCATAAGAGGTCACATGATTGTTGGGTTTCTCTACGTATGTGTTATTGTGAGGTATACCTTACAATATAAAGCACCTTGTTGTTGTGATTTGGCGCTGTATAAACAAAGTTGAATTGAATAGAATACACATGTGACAGTATTTGTACAAATGACAATTGCCAATATAATTCTAACACTGCAGATAAACTCTATACATTTTTATGAATCTTCCCCCTGCCAAAAGCTGTAATATCAAGCTTAGAGAGACACGATAAACCTGACCGTACTCAGACAGTTGCTTTCTCTTATATTTTTTTATTTAATTACATTTATATGAAACTACATAAACAAATGCGTCAAACTTAACTGGTGTATTTCTCAGCTTATCATCATGTCCTGGGACAACTTCCTACCCCTGTGTTGGTTAGCCATGTTTCCTGTTATTTCTAACAAATGACCAGGGGCTACACAGTAAGTCGTGGGTGATCGCTGCTTTCTTGGTTGTGGTGCAGTGTGTCCAGACTACTGGCTGAATAGTAACATAGTCCCTTGCTGTGCCTTCTCTCAGCCTTCCATCTGCTCAGGCTGGAGCAGTGACCTCAGAGAGCAGCTGTGGTCCTTCAGGTTTGCCTCGGGGAGGGTCAGGTACAGTGCTGGACATTCCTAATTACTTTGATACTTCGTTATGTACTTCAGTGTTTCAATACATAATGTGGTGAGAAATGACCATGTGTGACAACCAGAGATTACGCGTTACTGCCTCATTCAAGTAACGAGTAAAGTAAGGGATTACTATTGCAAAAACGGTAATTAGATTACCGTTACTTTCCCGTAGGAACGCTGCATTACTGCGTTACT